GAGCTTCATTGCTCTGTAAAAAAAAAAAAAAAGAAAGTATTCTTGCTAATCCATTGTTGCAGATATAGTGACTTATTTTTTCTGGTTATGTATTCATTGTTCCATATTATGGTTTTATGGGGAGAGAAATTGTGGAAAAATAATTTGGCTGCCATAAGAACCTGCTGATGAAATATAGATAATTTTTTGGTAATTTTGATTCATTATAATTGTACTGTAGTAGAACTTGTAAACCTCCCATCTTTCCAAATATTTTCTGGGGTATAAAGTACCAGAGGGACTCTGGGGCTTTTAAACATTCTTTTATTCATTTCAATTTGAAGGTATAGTGCACATCCATAAAGTCAAGTATCTCCATACCATCTACACCTCTCGGACCTAAATGATGACATTAATTTTTCCAAATAAAATTAATTAGTTTGTTATTTATTTCTTTACATAAAGAAGGTTGGATGAAGAGACAGAGAGTGGGGAAAACAAAACTGTAGATACCATCTGCCTTACTCAAAAGAACCTACCTAGCAACGATAAATCTCTTTGAAGCCACATATTGAATATACAGTATATTTCGTTTTTTTGTGTTTGGGGTTTAAAATAATTTTCTTGTCGTTGGAGAACTGGGACATCCTTGGCAGACTGAAAATCTTTTAGTAATATTTGGATATAGCATGACACAACTGCTGATATCTTTATAAAGCATCCTAATACTGGAAATGAAAGTTTCTCCAAAACCAAAGGTTTGTAGTGACCTGAATAAGAATTGATGTTTGACTGTATCGAATGCCTTATAAAAATCCAAAAATAGAAGTAAAGCATCTGATTTTACATATTCAGCATAATCTGAAGTCAAGGATAACTCTAATGTTGTTACTGATGTGATGATTGGTCATGAAGCTGGTTCGAATTATATTTATGATTTTGTTTAAACCTCTCTTTAAATGTTTAGCAAAGATTAATGAAATAGTTTTATAGTCTATGTTAAGCAATGTTATTGGTCTCAAATTATCAATCAGAAGAGGGTCTTTATCAGGCTTGGGAAGAAATGTAATTATGCCTTGCTTCATAGTTGTTGTCATTTCTTCTTTATCAATGCATTCTTTTATCATATTGTGAGGAGATTCGATTATATTCCAAAAGATAAATTTCAATAGGCTGACCATCCATTCTGGGGGACTTTCCTTTTTTCATTTTACTAGCAGCTTCAAGAATTTCCAATTTAGAAATAGGTTTGTCACAATCCAATTTAAATTCATCTGATATTTGTGGATAAATTCTTTCACACCCTTGATACATTTTTCACTTGTCTGGTTGTAGTTTGATTTATATAAATCAGAATAAATCTTGAGCGTGTGATTCTCTATATCAGAAGAGTTAGAGATTATGACCTAATACATTTTTAAAGATGTGATATTATATCTTTTGTGATTCATTTTTTCTAGTGCAAAAAAATAGCTTGAATTCTTCCCTTTTCCCATCCATTTCACTCTGGAATGAATAAATGCTCCTCTGGTCATGTTGACATGTAATTGGTCTTTCTTTTCACTTCGTTTAAAAATGTCAGCTGCCATTACTTTTACTGATTTGCAAAAAGATTCATTTTTTAAAAGATTACAGTTAAACCTCCAATAATCATATTTTCTTAATTGGTTCTAATGTATTGGCAAGAGTAATGATTATCATTTTGTGGTGTGAAAAGGGGGCATAGTTATGCAGTGACTCAGGAACAAATTGTAATGTTTGGTAGGATAATAACCAAAGCTCAATTTGAGATCGTAGGGAACCATTTGCATTACTCCATGTATATTCTTTCTGGTCAGGATGCAGATAGCGCCAGACATCAATAACATTAAGTTGTTCACATAATTTGGAAATTACTTTAGTCTTTGAATGGGAGGATATTCTTGATGGTATCAATTTGGTCATCTACTGTTTCATTAAAATTTCAGCCAATAATTAGATGTGAACTTTGATATTTCTCCTTTATTTTTTTTCATTCTTCTACAAGTTGAGTAAACATGTTTTTCGCTGAGGTATTATTATTATAACCATAAATATTATTCACAATCAGGGTCCTATTGTTTATTCTAAGAACCAGAATAATCCATCTACCCTCTTTAGATAAGAAAGATTCTATTACATCTCCCTTGAATTTGTTTAACAGCATGGCAGCTCTCCCATCGTCATCACGAGTGATTCTCTTGAAGAAAAATTTGTGCGTCTACAGAGCAAAAAAAACCTTTTCTTTTAGAAACGTTACGTATGCCTCTAACATTAAGAGATACAACTTTGAGGTTGATAAAATTAGCGTCTGCCATAAATAGTAACTATAATTAAAAACAGAAAAGAAGAAAAAGGTTGATGCCTACAAACAGGAACAAGTATAACAGTAGAAAAGAGCTATTAAAGACTCAGCAATAGAAAGGAATACTCTGAACACTAATAGTACCTGGAGGTAGAATCTTAAACAGTCTAAAGGCCATGAAATTATTATCAGGCTACTTAATTATCTATTTGTCAACAACATTCATACAGTCTACAAACAGAGCTATTAAGCTACAAATCTGAAGGTGGGCATGTTGAACTGGATGATAATGGGGGATGGTGTCTTGTTCTCTCGGGGGTGCCCACTCGATGTAAGGTGTCAATCAGAAATCCAAGCTTGCTTCTATCTTCTGGTGCAATCTGGCTCATTATTTTCAAAACTTCCTCTCTTACATCTTCGTTCCCTTTTTCCGGAAGGAAAATCATCGTCACTGTCACTTTTTCCCCCGGTCTCTTTCACTTGAAATACGAACCCTTTCATCTCGTCTCTGACCTCTGTGATGTCTGCTATGTTCTTTATTTAGTCGCTGTTCAAATGTGAAGAAGTTCTCATTTAGCTCTCTGATGGCTTTCAGTATGTCTACATTAGAGACTGACTGTAGGCGACCACAAACTGTGAAATGTCTCATCTGGCTCAATGTCCACCATCAGTCCTCCTTTGCTCTTTCTTGCTTCTCATTTTGTCATTTCTGTTCAGTGGTTGCTGTTAGCTTTGTTAGCTTGCTAGCACTCAATTATAGCATGCACGTATCAGAGTATTTTGCCGTTAAAATACTTAACTTGTCAATAAATCCTCACTTATCAAATCGTCTAGCATAATCCAGTAGATTGGCAAATAATTAAACAACTGGCTTTGTAAGTATTGTTTGGTACTAAACTAGTGTGTTAAAACTTAGCACATTGCTTCCACCACAGTCTCCATCTTGCACGACATTCAACCACGAGCAGAGCCTGTGACATCTTTCACGAGACTGTTGCAAGAGGACAGACCCAGCACCCTGATGCATTCATTGCAATATCGGAGGATTTTAACCATGTCACTCTCACCTCTCACCTGACTGGCTTCACTCAGTATGTTGACTGTCCCACAAGGGAAAATAAGACACTTGATCTGTTGTATGCAAATATCAAAGAAGCCTGCACTGCTTCACCTCTACCACCACTTGGCAGATCAGATCATAATCTGGTTTTTCTTCAGCTTACAGTTTTCTAATTTGCAGCTGCCTACATTGTTGTCAAGAAGGGCCAACAGTCTACAGGTTCTCATTTCAATTTAATACTAAGTCTGAGCATGTGAGTTGCTGACACCGTGTCACTATGCTGACATGCCACCATTTTTATTGGTTTCAAAAATTCCCATTGTTAAAGTGAGAGTGCAGTCTCTTTTTATAATAAGTCTCTCTCCACATGAAAACAGTGGGAAATAAAACACTTTACAATGGATTTCGAGTAAAAATTGTTAATACAGAATAGAATACCTTTTCCCAGGGGAAAAAAGGTACATAATTGGGTCAAGTAGTTCTACATCAGCAGAGCAAAAGTGTGCAAAATCTCAATATCATCAATACTCACTTCACTCACTGCGAACAAGGCAGGCCATCTATTTATAAATTCAGAGAGGAAAAGTGAGTCCAGGACAACCTCCTGATGTCTACAGGAGAAGGTCTTCTGTGTTTTCTCCTTGACCACAGCTTGATTGTTTCTCTTTTTCACCTCTCTCAAGACAGCCAGCCTTTCTTCCTCAAGACTCTTTTGTTTCACCACTAGGGAGGGATGGAAGGAAGATGACCTCTGCTTTTCGTGTTTTTTTGATGTTCGCAGCTCTTAGTTGATGCTGACCTCAGGGTGTCCAATCTTGCAAAGTTTTGTGCGAAAATTTGCAACCTTTGTCTTTAGATACTGTTTCCACCCCTCATGGCTGGCACAAGTTCCTCTTTCTGTCAAGCATGGATGGGCATGCACCAAGACTTCACCATCCTCCTCAATTTGGGAATCACTGGGATATGCTGTGTATTTGAAGATCTCCTCAGACATGCCTTCAAGGATATCCATTCTTAGCTTTGATGGAGGGCTAAGAAGAGTGCCATTTGCTTGGAATTCTGGATTTATAATTTGGAGCTGAATTTCAGCAAAATATGAAAAGCGGGGAATAAGGAAGATTGGAGGCCAAGACGATGTTCTTGTTTCTGGAGCTGGATCTAAACTGACAGTGTGTGCACTGCTAAATGAGTGGTCAGAAGACCAACCTTCTCGATCAAGGGATCGAGAGCTTAGAGGGTTAGGAGAACAGCTGGGAGCTGAGCTGTCTAACATTTCCTCAGCTTGTTTCTCTGATAACTTCAGATCCAGACGTCCGACGACTAAAATCCTTCATCTGGTTCAAATATAGAACTGAAAACTACCAAGGTGTCAAAAGTGTATGTGGCTTAAAATTAGATAAAAGTCAATGTTGAGCTTCTGTCAGACAAACTCGCTGACACATGATCACAGAGGATATGATGTCATTGACAGGAGACCAATGAAACGTTACTATGATTAAAATCACAGATTACTCTGGTTTGTTAGACATTTTAATGTGGAAAAGTTACAAATTATAACTTTAAATGCAAATTTAATAAAGTGACATAGAAATGAATTCTAATCAATTATTGTGGTGTCTTTCCCTGTCCTCTCCTCAGGAATGCCCTGCAGAGTCAGGTGATTTCCGGGCCCAACAGTGTTCAGCCCACAATGATATCAAATACCAGGGTGTCACCTACGAATGGGTCCCAGCACCTTATGACCCCGCAGCCCCTTGTGCCCTGCAGTGCCAGGCTAAAGGGAGAATTCTCACTGTTGAGCTCGCCCCTAAGGTGCTGGATGGGACACGGTGCCGCACTGATGCCTTTGACATGTGCATCAGTGGAGTGTGTCAGGTAAGAGGTCAAATTATAAGTCAGATATGTCCAGTCAGACACCTCCACCATTTGTCTCATTAATTGTGTGAGTGAAAATGTTGCAATGGCATCAAATTAATCAAATCAAAACGAAACACAGGACAAATGTTTCCTTGGGCATGCAGGATTGTGAGGAGTCTACATGTAAATCCTTTTCTTTGCAGCTGGCGTTGTCATGTCTCTGTCATCCTCATATTTAACATACTGAACTGTAGGTTTTAGTATCCTCCATGGGACTGCAGAGGTTATGAGAGTGCACTGCTGATCGCTGTCTTTTAATGGCACTCAGTTAGTGAGAGACTCACACACGTGTTACTTATAGACTGGGACATTCAGTGTGCACATGAAAGTAACCAGAAATAAAGAGCAACAATGGATCCTTTGTTTTCTTTGGCACAGACCAACTGAACCAAACTACAGTTGGTTAAGCAATTTCAGTCTGATACACTGGTACAACCCTGTATCAAGTTTTAATTATTTCACTAACTCTATTTCATTTCACAAGGCAGTTTGATACCAAGTACATACAACATTAACAATGCGTTCACTTCATTGATCAACATGTTGCATTATTGTTTAAACAAATAACTAAGCCACTTCAATTTTATTTATGTGCCAATATCGCAAATGACTAATTTGCAGTATAAACTGCACAGTACATGACAGAGGAGGAGTCCTCCCCCAGGACAGACACATGCATCATTGTCATCTGTACAAAACACAGCAACATAGTAACTTTACAGTGAGGACAAATTATAGATCTATTGTAAACATATATGCACTTGATCTGGAGAGATGAAGACAGGTTGAGTCTCTTGGAGGACAAAGATCCAGATCCAAAACATCTAAAAGGAGGGGATGACAGCCAAGGGAGAGACAGAGGTCCCAGGGTGGAATAGCCTGAGTGAAGAGAGAGGACGAGGAGCAGAAAAAAGGGGGAGTGACAGGGTGAGGAAAGAAAGAGAGAGGCAGACAGTCTCAATGCTCATGTGCTGGAGGGACAACACAGAAACACATGGTTAGAGAGATGCAGTACTTTTCAGAAAGTAGTAGTCTTGTTGTCAGGACAGAGATAGACTGCTCTGTAAACCAGACCATGGTTATCTCTCGCCTCGACTACTGTAGTGCTCTTCTGATGGACCTCCCTTCATGCACAGTGAAACCCTTACAGATGGTCCAGAATACAGCAGCTCATCTGGTCCTCAATAAGCCTAAAAGGTCGCATGTCACTCTGCTGCTCATTGAGCTTCAGCATGTCACTACTTCAGTCACTAATGCTGCCTTCGGAGTGACTTCTGGGTCGGCTCCATCTACTTGAACTCAATCATTCAGCCTTATGCTCCTTCTCCTCCACTGTGTTCCTCCAAGGAATGTGGTCTGTCATCACCATCCCTGCACACAAGACAGTCTCAGTCCAGACTGTTCTGGTCTGTGGTTCCCTGATGGTGGAACAAGTTACCAAAGTCTATCAGAGCAGGAGTGTCCCTCTCTATCTTAAGAGAGCACTTCCTCTCCAAACACCTCTAACACCCTTACATGTCTACTGCTGCTTTCAGACAGAGTGCAGCAACGGCACCACTGCGCTCTGAAAGCCATTATTTCTAATGGCTTGTGCCACACCACAACTTGTTGCTATGTGCTGTGGCTTGCTCGGCGCAGCACGCCTTCCAGCAAGCTAGCGCAAGCAACCTAGTTGAACTTTGACCGCATGCAGCCAATTGAAACACGGCGATTGAAATACAGCACAATATGAAAATGGAGGGGAAACTGATCCTTTGTGTCTCTGAATACCCCCAAATGTACATCAGCAGGAAAGCCCTCTCTTTTGGCGACAGATTTCTACCCAAGTAGGTGTGACAGGTTTGTCTTAAGATATACAATCCATGGTTTTAATAGCCTTTAGCAGGTTGTGGGTAGGCACTGTAGCGTTAACGCCATATTTTAGAATTTACTCTCGTTGAAATGGGGCACCAGTCCTCTGGGAGGACAACAATGAATTACTTCATTGCCAAATTTATCAATCAAATATCGGAAGCCATGACTTCTCGATTCAATGGATCTCCAGTCTCTACATCAAAAGAACACGACAGGACAACAACTGGATGTAAATAAAGGAGTTTATTAACTAAACTACTATCTACAGAGTAAATGCAAGGTGTAATAATCATAAAGATGAAAATGATAATGAAATGAGCAGTGTGATGAGTTGGCAATGGTGGGAGAGAATATGTTATGGCTATACACTATGGCTATACAGCTAATGATACTACATCTACGAATTAGGTCTGATGATTAAATATTGCTATATTTCGACATCAACCGAGTCCTGAGCAGAGTGTTAAGTCCGGCCTACTGTGAGTTGCGCTGTAGCTGAAGACCCTCGGCTGGAACCCAGGTGCCTGTGGTTGCCATGGTAACCCCGGAGACGTGGGATCTAGGTGGAATCTCCTGGAGGCCGTGTCCCGTTATCACAGTGATCGATTCTGCCGGTGTCTCAGCGGTTCAGCTCTGGTGGAGTTTGCCAGGAGACTTTCTGTCTCGGGCACTCTTGATTTCTGCTCGGCTTCTCTGCAGGCAGTCGTGAAGATGTTATCTGCTAGTGTCTCTTGTGGGTTGATGCGAAATAAACTCTAATGCTCTTCACTTTGGCTGGATAACTTTAGAGGAGACTGGCGTTGACCAGATAACGCTAAAGTTGTCAAAATCTTCAAAAGGGAAAACTTGATGATGATTTAAAAGTTACAAAATTACTCTGAGGCACTTCTGTTGTTTTGGTTCAGTTGGTCTTGACTTGGCTTATAAAAATAAAAGATCGCGCATGTAGACAAAAATGACGTTACTTGGAGCTTGTGGCAAAGAAAAATAAAAGACGCGAAAAGTGCAAAAATGACTAAGAGCCATGGAGTTTGTGGCTAGCAGCTTAAAGCTAAGAGTTTACATGGCTACAGAGCCGGGCTTTGAGCCGGGACTCTGAGCTTTGAGCAAAGTTCTCAGCTTCTAATTTCTGCATCGTTTTCTAGCTTCAGCTTTTCAGCCTCTAGCTTTTAGCTTCGTTTCTCGCATCGTCTTCCTCCTTAGCATCTCGCCAAGTTTCTAACTTTTTCTCGTTTCTGTCACAATTCACTTTGCTGTTCTCCTGCTGTGGTGGAAATTTCCACTCACTCACCCTCTGGCCACACCTCATCAGCCAAATCTACCACACCTGGTGTTCCCAGCTGAGTCTCGTTAACTAGCCACTTTATAAGCAGCTCTGTTTCATGGCACTCAGCTCCAATTTCTAGTGCCTCATTTGCCTGACCTTCCAGGCAATAAACCTGTGGACTGAACTTCCCGGTACCGACTGGCTCGCCTCTGATCTTCTGCTTCTCGTTCTGGCCCCGGCAAAAAACACTACACCTTCCGTTTCGCTGACCACGATTTTTTGGCCTGTGAGTTTTCTGCCTCCGTCTGGGCTTTGGCTGTGTGGTGTTCACCAACTACAGTTTCTCCCTTGTCCTGCTGGTTTCGCCATCCCTTGCCTGCACCCAAAACAATCCTTCTGTTTTTCCCTCCGGATTCTCTGCACGCTGCCTATCCACCGGTTCTCCCACCCTGCTTATATCCCTCATCAAGCCTGCCTACCCCCCTTGGTCCCAGTGGGAAACTTCACACTTGCTCCTGGCGACCAATGAGAAACCCCGGTTGGGATTAGGCAAAGCCCGATGCAGAATACGAATCCGAATCGCAAAAAAACAATCAAGAAGTGATTGTGGTTGGACAGGCAAAGAGGAAATCGGCGAAACACCAGACAGGACAGGGAAAACCTGTTATTTGCGTGAAACAACCCAACAACAGTCCACAAAGCAGACGTGAAGAGCAGGAAAAACTCAAGGCAGATAAAAATCGTGGGTCAGGAACGGGAGGGCTGTAAGTGTGTTGCCGGAGGCAGAGACACGAGGAAGAAGAAGATTCAGAAAGGCGAGGGGGGAGCCGCCTCCCCCGATCGTACCGGGAAAAAGTCACGTCCCAGCAGCTTCATGCTGGCAAGCGTCAGGCATGAAGCGAAGAACCAGATCTGGGGCAACTGAGTGCATTGAAAACAGAGCTGCTTATAAAAATAGGCTACGTAACGAAGGGACTCAGCTGGGGGAAACACCAGTGTGGTAAGATTTGGCTGAATTGAGTGTGGCCAAGAGGGTTGACGTGAGTGGAATAATTTCCAACCACAGCAGGGAGAAACAAAGCAAAGTGAATTGTTGGACAGAAACGAGAAAAAGTTAGAAACTTAGGGCGAGAGATCTAAGGAGGAAGACGATGCGAGAAACGAAAAAGCTAAAAGCTAGAGGCTGAAAAAAGTGAAGCTAGAAAACGATATTGCAAAGAATTAGGGAAGCTGAGAACTTTTGCTACAAAAGCTCAGAACAGTCCCGGAACTCAAAAGCCCGGCTCGATGTAAAGCTCTTATTACTGTAGCACAAATCACTTGGCCTTGTCATTTTTCAATTTTCCGTTCTTTTTATTTCGCCACAAACAATGCAAAGTAACGTCATTTCTAAAGTCTACAATGCAGCGATTCTTTTTATTTTATATAAGGCCAAAGTCAAGACCAACTGAACCAATAACAAGAAAAAACACAGAAGTGGCCTCAGAGTTAATTTTGTAACGTTTTTAAATTTCCATTCAAATTCAAGTGTCCCTTTTTGAAGGGATTTTGACACCAACTTTAGAAAAGTTCATCTGGGTTCCAAACGAACCAAGTCTCCCTCTTAAAGATTAATCCAGCCAAAGTGAAAAGAGCGATTTAGATGTTATTTCGCATCAAAACCCACAAAGAGACACTATGCCAAGAGATAAACATTTGCAAGCGAACCAACCTGCAAGAGGAAAGTCCGAGCAGAAAATCAAAAGTGCCCGAGGGACAAGAAAGTCTGCCTTGGCAAAACGTCACACCCAAAGCATGAAGCGACACCCCGGCGCAGAATCAGATCACTGTTGATAAC